TCATTAAGTGCATAGTAATTACATAAATTGCAAAAAAGTGCAATAAACTACAAAAAAATTGAAAATCGTTTTTGATTTTTTTAACATATATTTGTAGTTAGAGAAATTTAAGAGGCTTATCCCTCAAAACTGTAAATACAAAAAAGTTGCACAAAATAGTTTCCCACCACAGGAAATTTATTTTGAGTGTCTTCATAGTTTTATTTTTGAAATACACCAATTTTTATACACTGCAGGAAAAACGAAAATAAATATTATACTGCAAATTTGCAAAAAAGCAGCATATGCATCAAAATAAACTATTTCCAGCAGTGCAATATGAGTCCTAAGCATCCCAGAAACAACACAGAAAGTCATAAAGTCAAAGATAACTTTTAAAAAGAGCAGTATAGGCCCTGAGGCCCTGATCGCAAAAAAGACTACATTTTCGCGAAAATGACGTCACTTCCGCTTTCGGCCAGGTAATGGCGGAAATGCAAAAGTTCGCGCTGACGTCTATTCCAACGTAGGAAGTGTTTTGAACAGCTGATCGGACCGGCAAAGCGTGTTTCTGGAATATTATGTTTTTGTTCCTGCAAGCGCTTTTTATGCAGTTTTTGCAAAGCTTTATGTGGAAGGAAACCGTGACCTAGGACAAGCTGATGGCACAATATGTAAGTACAACTCCTCCGGTTTCATATGCAAAAAAATTTTTTGCGCTAGCTTACGTGGTTGCAGTGCTACCGGGATTTAAAAATAGTTACGCATAACAGAGCGTTCCCGCTCCGATCGGCTCTAAAGGGTTAACACAGTACATTAGATATATATACATACAGGCTTTTGAGGAACATATGGTGATATCCAGATTACATTTTTGGTGTAAGTATCAAGGCTCACTGTGTAGCGAGCAGAACTCAAAGATCAGGACTTAGAAGAGAGATTATAAAAAGAACATAGGTGAGGAAGAAATAATCAGACAGACAGACTCTTACTGGAGACCACATAAGGAAGACCACAACAAAGAACACAAGCAAACTTTTTAAATACACAAGTTTAAATACACAAGAGGAGAGCAGAGTGGAGACACCTGGGGAACACACAGCTGAATTGAATCTAGATGATGAGAAAAGGGAAAGCAAAACTGAATGTAACGCACATGAGATGAGAGACTATCAAAATAAAACAGGAAGTAACAGAACATGAAAACAGAAATTTAGAACTGATGAAAGACTGAAAGGGAACCAAACACAGAGACAAGACTGGCTTCATCACAAGGTGTGGGGAACAGACGGGAGCCAAGATAAAAGAACTAAGAGACAGAATACAAACAGACTAAAACCTAGATAACAAAACCAAGGAGACCCGAGAATACAAATACTAAACACCCAAAAAACTTAAAACCCTGGGTCAAAGGCCCAGAAACCATTACAGAAGGCCTTGCTTATTTCAGCAAGACAATGCCAAACCACGTTCTCCTTGAATACAACAACATGAAAGAGTCCAAACCCTGCCGCCCGATATAAACATTTTTCTCTTCATGAAATGACAATTACAATAAAAGATGACCATAACTGTTGAGTAGCTAAAGTCCAACAGCAACAAAGGATGGCAAACCTTCCGAATTGCAGATCTGGTCTCCTCAGTCGGCAAACAACAAAAGAAGAAGTGATCCGTCACACGCCCGTGATTTCAGTGTTAACTTTTAAAATGCCTTCATTTGAATGCAATGATTTTGACAATCATTTGCAATCTGTTTTCAAACTTTTACTGTGCCCCAGCTTTTTTTTTTTGAAAACATGGTTGTAAAAACACAACAGAGATGCTGAACAACTGCATGTTACTGCCAGTGTGATGCTTTGACCCTTACATTTCCATTAGCCCCGCTGTCTCTACATTCTCCCTCCTCTTACTCTCGCTCTCTTGCTCACTGCCTGACCTGCGAGATTGTAGGTCAGGTTAAGCCCTTTCCTCCGCTACTTACTTGGCTCATATGTGTGTCTCACAGCGTTGATAGCACCTCCACCTTGAATGAGCCAGTTAATGCCATGGTAACCTCTCTGATCACATGGTGACTCTCTGCTCATGCTCTGATTGCTTTTACTGATTCTTCTAAACAGACAGAGTGACTGTCCTGTTGGTAAATTACCTCTGTCCAGGCTTATCTATCTCACTGTGCAACTTCCTGGAAGACCAGAAAGTATCAACCGGAATGAGTCATTCCAACACACTGAGCCTGTTTTATTTACTTATTTATTTAATTTTGAAATCCAGAGGAAAAGCCAACTGGTCTGCACAGGCATGGGTTCAAATTGTCATGATCGGAAACTTCACAGAAGCACAGCTTTCCCACCACCTCTGGGAATGGTGATATTAGAGCAATGTAGATGTCACAATCTGTTCCTATGTGTATATACTCTAATAAAAATCAGATTTTTCTAAAGGCCCACCCATATATAAAACAGTTGCACACAAATGTTTTGTGCAGATACATGTGCATGCATATCTGCATGCATGTGTACAAATGTACAATGTATATATTTGATTTTTCTTTTAATTGATAATGCAAGTGGTGAAAATCTATCTAAAAATCATTAAATTGTTTGAATCTTTCCAAATGTGCCTCTTGTGTGGACAAAAGTGTTATCTATCATCGGGTTTTGGGTTAAACAGCAATTAAAAGTAAGTTGCTTGATGAATTGTGTGATTATAATTTTCATATGTGGTAGCAATTTATTTACCAAAGTTCTTACCATTTACTTATTTCATTGATGGTTGGGTGGATCTGTGATAGAAGATGTCTTGTGTTGCTCTGCCTAAGCTTACTTTCATTTTTTTCTGTTTTACACATTGTTACAAAGGTATATAACGCTTAATTCTGCCAGAGGTTTCTTGCAGTGAAAAGGGAGTTTTTCTTTCCAACTGTCGCCAGGTGCTTGCTCATAGGGGATTGTTTGTTTCTTTCTAATATTGTGGTCTTACAATCTAAAGCAAGGGTCCCCAATCTCAGTCCACGAGGGCCGGTGTCCCTGCAGGTTTTAGATGTGTCCTTGATCCATCACAGATGATTTAAATGGATAAATTACCTTCTCTACACGCCTTGAAGTTCTCCAGAGGCCTGGTAATGAACTAATCATGTGATTGAGGTGTGCTGACCCAGGGTGAGATCTAAAACCTGCAGGGACACCGGCCCTCGTGGCCTGAGATTGGGGACCCCTGATCTAAAGCACCTGTAGGGGACTGTGAATTGGTGCTGTATAAATAAAATTGAAAAAAAAAAATTTGACATTTAAACAATTTTTCTCCTCAAATGATAAAATGCCTTGATTACATGAAGCTACCATGTACCAGCTTTCTCAGTTTAAGTTATTCATGGGTTTGAATCAGTGGCCCAATGTAATAACAAAAATATGTCCAACCTAAAACTATTTCCTATTACGGTCTGGTCTTCTGGCCTTAAATAGAGCTCATATCTTTTCTGTGCTTCAGACTTTTGAAGATCAGAAACTAAAACTCTGTATTACAGAGTCAAGGCTAAGAAAGATGTGATGCAGGACCGGGTTAAAGAACAACTTTGAAGTAATATTTTATGAGCCAAAATCCTGTACCATAAAACAGAAAATGACATTCATGTTATTCCTGTAAACTCTTTGGTTTTAATCAAACAGAGGATAGTGCAGTGCAGACAAGACCATGAATTCATGTATCGTAAGGAAATCGAGTCAGGTGGCTTTATACAAAACATTCTTTCAAAGTTTTCTTTCCTTCTTTGCAATATTAACTTAAATTCACTGAGCTATTTTAGTGTTTAATCAGCGTGTCAGAGCCCACATTTAAATTACATGTGGATGTATTCACACATGTGTGCCTGCAGGTGTTCACACTTGCCATAAAGGCTCATGAGTAGCCCAGCAAGGTCTACTTATATAGATGTAGAAATAATTAAAGACTGTAAATTATCATCACCCCAAAATACAGAAACTTCTTCAGCCTCTATACTTCTGATTTACCAGTTTTATAAAATGCAGAGACCACACAGTTTCCCACTTTCTGACAAGCAGTACTTATTTTCTATCTCTAAATGCAAATGTGACCAGAGGCTTGGCATCTGCCTGAGGGCTCAGTCAACTGACAGTATGCATCCCGGGGAGTGATCTATTGATCCATATTCAATATCTGCTACACTCTCCAGCTCAGTAAAGTTGGGAGATGAATTAATGAGGAGCAGAACTGACAGTGCATACAAGTACACTAGGACTGGGAGTGCCTAAATGGCTTTACTTGGCTGTGTTATGTGTAAATACCCCCAAACCAACATTTTTGATAAGTGTAGAAATAACGATGAGCTGCATAACGGATGTATTTCAGATGACAGGTGTATTTCTCATGCAGCTGAATGAGAGCTGACACAAGGATAGACCATGTCAGCAGGGAATCCCAGAATGTTTAAATATTCTGTCCAATCTGAGAATTAATTAACCGATGAATACTGTAAAATAAAGCAGAGAAGAATGGACAGAAAGTGACCAGGACGAGATGGAGGAGGTGGGGGAGTTGTCAGCAGTGATACATCTTTCATCTCTAACAAGGTCTGAAAGCTACAAAAACACAGACATTGACAACAGACCCCGAGAACACCACTCTCCTCCTTTCATTTTATCTTTTCACTTCGCCTGCCTGCCTGTTGTGTTTCAGTCTCACATCTGTAGCCCACGTTTTTGTACTTAGACTTTAGTCTTTTCACACCTGCTGTTCTCCGTAAACACAACTCCACAAGTGTCTATACCTCTTAACGCCACCTGAAAATCTGTAAGGTTACAGTCAGGCAGAAAAAAGAAAGACTATCACAGAATATCCAACAAATATGCTTTAAATCTACCAAGTAATATTGTAAAACCTTTGATTAAACCGTTAAACAGATGTAGTCATTTGATTTGTGAAAAGGTCACATGCTGGGTAGGGCGATGCTGGGTGTGTGTTTGTGTGTGTGGCTGGAGGTGTTAAGGAGGGAGGATGAGGGGGGACGCAGTAGCGGGCAGATGCTGAAGAGAGAGAGAAGCAGGATATGGGAAAAAACAACAAGTGAGTGAACTGTTGCTCTGAAAATAAAGTCGCCGTGCGCCGGATTAATTCACGGCGAAAGTCTGCAAAAGTAAGCAGTCAGAATATGTAGTTTTCTCTTTGAAGGTGCGATCGACCACTTCGGCATCGCTTCCACTGCTCCCGCTGCCTTGAGCGTTTTTCTTTTCTTTTCTTTTCTTTTTTAATTAAATGTTGGTTTTTTTTCTTTTTGGGCGGACGGTGCGGTCCCGCCAGCATGCAGGACTCCAGGATGACATGTTGTAAGTTGGTAGTATTACTATGACTCTGTTTCCGCCGAGCAGAGTTTGGACCGCAGCGCAACTTCAGCCGAAGCGCCAGTAGACGCGCCTCAGTCTTTCGCTCGGGTCCTGGACCAGCTTTCCTGCGGCGTTTCTGTCTGAACCCGTGGGATGAAAACCCACTGAAGACCGGGGTTTAAAAAAAAGGAGCAAAGAAAGAAGACATCTGGGTGAGCTGATTATTGCAGTGTACTTTTATTTTTGCACTAGTTTATAAAAAACTTTCGGAATCGTTTTTACCCACCCTGGCCATATTGAAGCTTGGTCACTTCAATTTTAATTTAAATGAAAATACTAAAATAATTCATGCATTTATGCTGTTAGGTGAGCAAAGAGCTTGTGAACAATGCAGCAGGCCTGGAATAATATCAACATGTAGCTTTTGTGTCCGTTGTGTTAAACTAGTGTTAACCTGTTTGCTTTTATGAATAATACAAAATGTTTTAACATGAATTTTGAGGACCTGAACGTGATTAATACAAAAACAATCCACCTGTGTGGGTCACACTAGTTCCATTTTTTTTATAATTGTCAAGTACACCTTTAAATATGAAATTACTGCAATATGAAATGTTTCTTAAATGCCTTCCATATTTAACATTTAAATTATAAATATGTGGTATTAGGAGATCACATTTTCTTAGTCCTGTTATGATTAGGCTATATGTGTGTGTTCTTTTTCTTTTAGAGTGCAATGGATTTGCTGATTTTCTGTGATATA